ACTTTGAAGATATTTATCTTCACAATAACCCTGAAAAGAGGTATCATGCTACCACCTTACAGATTCATCAACTGAGGCATGTCGGCCATCCAGCCAGGAAATGGCAGGGTCTGGCTTCAAGTCCAAGTCTTAGAGGATGCCAAAACTGCAGACGCCCCTTGGGTAGTACCCTCCTGACTCCTGATCCAACATGTTTCCCACCACAGCACCGCTGCCTGGGGCAAAGGGAAAGACATTCCTGCCTTAAATTACACACAGTGCCTCCACGTTAGGATTTGGTTTTGCTAAAGGGACAGGGCTAAAATATCTATAATTTAAAGGCTCAGGAGATACCATAAATACATGAGCTCTCAGGAAACTCCTTGGCCCCTCACTTTGGTGTCTAGTTAATTCAATTGCCATCACCACCAAAGGCAATAGCATACATTTCTCCTCTTTTGCTTCTATCCTTATGAGCACAGCGTTAGCTGTTGTTCTATAACCTTCTTTTACGATGAGGTGCCTGAAATATAACACTCTCAGCAGTTTAGAGCACAAAACTGACTTTAACACATTATGGTACATTTGGGGATTCAAACCTCTTGGAAGCAGGTCAAATGCAGGTACCGAGTTTGCTGCAGAATTCGGCTAGCTGAGTCGGACACATAAAGCTGCCTTTGCATTCCAACCTGTTATACCTCTAAGCCCAGCTTGATGATTTCCCCAAGCCCCAAAGCTGGGGAATGCCAAGCTGATTCTGGCCGGGAACCAAGTACAGTCTCCAGAGCTTAGACCAAAATTGTTTTTTCCAGGACCCCTTGACATGTCTATGTCACCTGCCTCCTTTTCTGAGCCCCTCTGAATTCCCCTCTCTCTAGGCCAGCCATTCTTGCTCTCTACCCCAACCTCCTCTCATAAAGTTTTCTTTTCCTTTTTTATCCTTGTCCTGCGGAATAATCATTTAAAAATTTTTTATATCCCTTGGTATTTAAAACTGCCTACTTATCACAAAAATAGGACAAAAAGCATCATCCACATCCTGCCACTTGCCCTTCCCTAGTTCATTTGCAGACATAATACCTACAGAGTTAGCATATTTATATCATAGGTACAATTTGGGCAGCTGCTATAGTCCTTTATGGCTGGGTGGCAAATGGATTTCATCTCTTGTCCTGACTCTGTTCAGCCTACCTGGGCAGCTGACTTAAAAGATCCTAGACTCAGCAGGTAAGTGTGGTGGGACAATTCGTGTTTTTGCCATTGACTCATGTTATGGAGAAAGGACAGTGTGGGAGCACACAGACATACTTGCTTTTCTATATTGTCAATGTTTGTGGTAGTTGTCTGATAATATCATCTGTACCAATTCTTCCCATCCCTGGGGGCATGGAAGTCGAGTCTATTTCCCATTGAATCTGGGCTGGCTTTTTGACCAGTTTTGACCACTAAAAGGCAGTGAAAGTGACACCGTGACTTCTAGCCCTTTGAGGTTTTTTTTTTTTTTTCTTTAGTTTATTTATTTATTTTAAGGTGGGGACAGAGAGAGAAGGAGAGAGAATCCCAGGCAGGCTTCTTGCTGTCAGCACAGAGCCTGACATGGGACTTGATCTCACAAACCATGAGATCATTACCTGATCCAAAATTAAGAGTCAGACACTTAACTGACTGAGCCACACAAGTGTCCTAGTCCTTTGAGGTCTTAAAGCCTCTTGGGATCTAGCCACCATGTAAAGAAATTTCAGTTGGACTAGATGGGAGATCCCATAGAAAGAAAGAGAAGCCCAGTCAGCCCCAGATGTTCCAGCCACCTCAGTGTAGCACCAGGCACGGGAATGAAACTACCTTGGTTACATAGCCCACGCCAGGTTCCTAGCTAAATGCAACCACATGAGTGACTCCGTCAGTATGACATGCACCAGAAGAATTTTCCAGTAGAACCCAGCCAATCCACGGAATCATGAGAAATAATACAATGTTGTGGGTTGGACCACAATTTGGGGTATTCTGTTACATAGCAGTAGATAACGCATATGACACAATTATTTTACTGGCTGATTTTCCTAATTTCCACTTTAGACCATCAAGTCACCTCTTGCATAACATATTCCCTGACCCTTCTCCACCCAGATGGAAATTGCAATTCTCTCTTTTGTGTCCCTTCTGACTCTTCAGCTGTCTCCTCTCCTGGACTGTGGATTGCTGGAGGCCACCGTCTGGATTTCATTCATATGTGTACCACCAGCTGGCATAGTGAGTGGTAAGAGCTCAATAAGTGTTTGATGAATGAACCCAATAAATAAGTTTACCATTGCACTGTGTCTTCCCTCTGCTTGCACTACTGCCTCCCCTCCCCCATGCACTGGCAAGTCTCCCTCACTTCACCAAATCTCTTATCAGCAAGGACTTCCTCTACCGCCATATTCAAAATAGCAACTTCCTCTATCCCTCTATAGCCTTTTATCACTTTTATTTTCCTTGATAACATGTATAACTCTCTGAGAGCTTATATACCTATTTCCGGCATGTCTCTCCCCATTAAACTGTAAGCTCATGATGTCAGAGACTTGTTTTATTCACTGCCATGCCCCAGTACCAAGAACAACACTTGACATCTAGTAGGTTTTCAATAAATATCGTTGGATGAATAAATAACTTAATATATGTATCATAACAAGAACTACAAATTTTGGTAGTTTTCTCACTTTGAATTTGGGCTGTCCTGTATTTCATCTTTGAGCCTTTGTGGTAGGCATGGTTAGCACACACCAATATCCAGTTCTCTCTTCCTGCCTGGGCCTATAGAAGACTAGTCATCCCAACAATTTTGCAGTTAGGTGTGGCCATGTGAGTAGATCTGGCCACAGGAAGTGAGCGGAAGTGACAGCTAGCACTTCCAGGCTGAAGCACAGCTGAGAGAATGTGTTTTCTCCACAAGCTCTCACCCTGCCTTATGTTGAGATGATGGGGACACCAAATCAAAGGAGTGTGGGATTGTGGAGACACTGTATGGAGAACAGCTGCCCTGGAGAGTCGCCCATAACCACAGGGGACTTTTCATGAGTCAGAAATAAACTTGTGTTAAGTCACTGAGATTTTAGAGTGGGCTGTTAGTACAACAGCCTAGCCCAACCTGATCCAAAAGAGCCTATTTGGTTCAAATTCCTTTAAATCTGAGAAATAGATGAGGCGCATGTGTGGGAAGGAGGGAAGGAATGAGGTGTTTCCATCACCCAACTACTAATCTACAATTTCAAAGCACAGAAGTGCAGACACTCAGAGAAGTGTCTGCTCTGAGCCAGGCACGATGCCAGATCCTAAGCGAGGCACTGAGGAAACAGGGATGGATGTGACCCTATCCTTCTCCTCACAGAGCTCACAGACCAGTAAGAGAGACAGGCATGTTACTAAAATATGATGGAATAGTGCATGGGTATAGTTCTACTATGTACAAAATGCTCAGAGCACACAGAGGGTGGGACAATTCTTTCTGCCTGTTTCCGTATTAAGGTCACTCTGGGCTCAGCTGAACAGGCACTGTTCCTAGAATACTCACAGGAGCCAGACCAGGTCAGACTATGTCTGGCAGTTAAAGTGGGCAAACAAGAAAAGGGGGCAAAGTTTTCCTTCCTTCCTTATCATCCCTGCTGTTGTCTCCTGCATTCTGGCTGTCCTTTCCCAATGTGGAAGGCCTCCCCTGGCTCTGCATGTCTTCCCTGAGGCCTGTCCCCTAAAATCAAAGCTCTAAGCTGCTGTACTAGTCAGGATTCTCCAGAGAAACAGGGTGATTGATTGATTGATTGTAAGGAATTGGCTCACGTAGTTATGGAGGCTGAGAAGTCCCAAAATCTATAATCACAAAGTCGGAAACCCAGGAGAACCAGTGTTGTAGTTCTAGTCCAAGTTCACAGGCTTGAGAATTAAGACAGGCAACAGTGTAACTTCTGGCCTGAAAACCTGCAGTCTCAAGACCCAAGAAGAGCCAATGTTTCAGTTCAAGTCCCAGGGCAGCAGTCAAGCAGGAGTTCCCTCTTACTCAGCTTTTTTTGTTCTATTCAGACCTTCAATCGATTGCATGAGGCCCACCCACATAAGAGAGTGCAATCTGCTTTACTCAGTCTATTGATTCAAATGTTAATCTTATCCAAAAAGAGCCTCACGGGCAAATCCAAAAAATATTTGACCAAATGTCTGGGCACCCCATGGCCAGTCAAGCTGACACATAAAATTAGCCATCACAGCTGGTGACAATTGTCCTGCCTGCTTTCCCATTGATTCACAGTCAGTTCACCTTAGGAAGCAAAAAGGAGAGGAAGAGAATCCAATAAAACATTGCACAATGACAATGAAAATAAATCTCATTCATTTAGTGGCTATGGATAGCCAGGCATGTTAGACACATGCTCTCTAATCTTTGTAACAACTCTGCAACATGAGAAGAATGAGCCTTATTCTCTAGAAGGAACTTCAAGGTCAGAGAGGTTGAGTACCTGGCCCAAAGTCGCACTACCAATAAGTCATTGTATCTGCTAGTGGCTCTTAGAAGTCTGTACAGCACAGGCTTCTATCTCCTGCCCTGTGATCCCTGCCCAAGATCCTGACTTTCACATCTGTTCTGCCTGCTCTGGAGCCCTATGGTTATAGTTTCCTTCCTATGTATGTGCAATAGTGAAGTAAAAAATCCCAGCTACCTGCCACTTAATAAAAGGATGTGGTCATGTCAACATGAAGACAGCAGGGCAGTAGATCAGTCGATTGCAAGAGTTTCAGGAACTCATATTCCCTGACTTCTCCCAGCAACCTCATCTTGCTACTTCTGCAAAGTCATTAAAGGAACAGCTTCTGGCCCGGAAGGTGCCTTTCAAGGGCACCCATGGGAAGACAATTCAGAAGCTGGTGCTCTGATGACAAGGGTCTTCTGTATCTGTTGCCCTTGAGCCTGGAGACCTCTATCATTTCTGCCTAGGTTAGTTTTATAGACTCTTGAGGAACCATGAGGCTGCCACTTTAAAACAGCTCCTTACCCTTTATTCACTGGTCACTTCAAGTATGTGATCCAGTTGCTTCTCCAATCAGAAACAATTAAGGAGGAGGTAGTGAAGTCAACCAGCTGGAGTGCAGGTGCAGGTGGCCTCAGGAAAAGTCAGAAGGACTGTTGTCACTGTACCTTTGGGTGCACGACGAGAGGACAATGAGTCAAAACATGAGCATAAGCCAATGTCTTCACCCGTTCTGGCTGCTGTAACAGAAAACTGCATAGTGGATGGTTTATAACAACAAAAGCTTATTTCTCAGAGTTCTGGAGACTGGAAAGTCCAAGATCGAGGTTCTGGTGGATTCGGTGTCTGTTGGGCCCATTTCCTGGTTCACAAACAGCTGTCTTCTTGCTATAACCTGACATGGCTAGAGGGGAAGAGAGGGCTCTCTGGGACCTCTCTTTTAAGGATACTATTCCCAGTTCACGAGGGCTCTGCCAAAGGCCCAACTTCCAAATATCACCACATTGGGAATTAGGTTTTAACAGATAGTTTTAGGGGGCACAAATATTCAGTCAATAGCAGGCAAGGAGCACAAGATCTTTAGGAACAAAACATTTTTAATGTTCATCTTCTGTTGAGAAACTGTTAGCCCAAGAACCAGGACATTTCCTTGGTTACAAAATTAAACTCTGTAAAAAAAAAAAAAAAAAAAAAAAAAAAAAAAAAAAACAAAATTAAACTCTGTGAGGGTAAAGGGCAAGATAAACATGCCATTCTAAGAGTTTCTGAGGACAAACCCAGAGACTGTGTGTGTGTGTGTGTGTGTGTGTGTGTGTGTGTGTGTGTGTCTTTAAAATAGTTCTTACTGGGTCGCCTGGGTGGCTCAGTTGGTTGAGCGGCCGACTTCGGCTCAGGTCATGATCTCACGGTCCGTGAGTTTAAGCCCCGTGTCGGGCTCTGTGCTGACAGCTCAGAGCCTGGAGCCTGTTTCGGATTCTGTGTCTCCCTCTCTCTGACCCTCCCCCGTTCATGCTCTGTCTCTCTCTGTCTCAAAAATAAATCAACGTTAAAAAAATTTTTTTAAATAAATAAATAAAATAATAAAATAGTTCTTACCTACAATTGCAGTTGGGCCAAGACCAGAACGCTTACTCTAAAATCCACACAAACACCATGCATCCTCCATTTCATCCAACGTCACCTGTACAAGAGGCACGTTTAGTATAAGAAAACACTTATTCTTCCCATCTGAAATACAAGCTCTTGGGATTTCACAGGGACCTTTTGAGGAAAATCTATAACCAGTGATTTTTCAGTCTTTGTTTTGGACTCCAAACAAATAAAAAAAATAAATATTGGTGTTTCTACCAGCAACAATAACTCATTATGGCGTAGACATAGGGTTTTACTGCAGGATGGGAGGGTGGGGTGAAGAGAGGGCATGTGTGAACTAAACAAGCCCCTCAAATGATTTGGATGCACAATGGAGAGATAATTAGCGTGGACTTCTACATGACACAGATCCTAATAGGGGACTGCCTAGTCCAGCTTCGTAGACCAGACAGATCTCACTTTATTTCTCCTTTGTCTAATTTAAATTTAAACAAATATTTATTAATAAGACAATTAAAAATAAACTTGAATCTCTTTGGATCACTCTCTGTTTTCTTTTTATCTTTTCTAGAAAATTGAACCAGCCAGGAGCTGCATTTGCAGGAGGACATGGACTTTGGAATCAGAGAGATCCAGGCTTGAATTCTAGTTCCTCTCGACGCAGGGCACTAAATCCCTTGAACCTCAGTTTCCTCATCCTTGGACCCAGATAATCCTATCACCTTTTAGCATTTGAAGTGTCTTTTATGCAACAGACACTCACTAAATTTTTTCTGGTCCGCTGCTTCTCACTGTAGGTTACCTCCCAAGTACATTTCTAAGAATTGGCCTATTGTATATATTTGTCATTTTTAATAGCTCTAGAGTATTCCATTGTGATAATGTCAAAATTTTCCCTGCCATTTCTCCAGTGGCATTTGGATCGTTTCTATTTTCCTTTCTTATGAATTGTACTGCTATGAACATCTTTAGACAGATTACTTTTTTCTCCTTATTTCCGTGAAATAAATTCCCAGCAGTAGAATTACTGGATTGAAGAGTAGGAACAGCTTTGTAGCCCTTGTTATTTATTGCCAGATGAATTTTCATTTTCTTTTTTTTTTATTTTCTTAAAAAAAAATTTTTTTTCAACATTTATTTATTTTTGGGAAAGAGAGAGACATAGTATGAATGGGGGAGGGGCAGAGAGAGAGGGAGACACAGAATCGGAAACAGGCTCCAGGCTCTGAGCCATCAGCCCAGAGCCTGACGCAGGGCTCGAACTCATGGACCGTGAGATCGTGACCTGGCTGAAGTCGGACGCTTAACTGACTGCGCCACCCAGGCGCCCCTGAATTTTCATTTTCTAAGAAACTGTCATCTGAGAGAGCCCAGCATATGTGGTAGATATTACGAACGGTTTCCATCTGTCACTGCTGTTCCTGTCACAAGACGTCCTGGAGAAACCATTCCCAGACCCTCAAATCCCATGAAGGGCACTAAGTGGTAGGAAATGTGGAGTAAATAGAGAAGAAATATAAAGACCTGGAATGTGTACAGATGCAGGGCTGGGAGAGTGAAGGTTGATCAAGTTCTCTGCATTTAGGGATTAGGATATGACAAGACCAAGTACTTTTGTCTGAGGATGCTGACATCTAAAGGATGTCAGCATCTAAAGGATGCTGGGGGACAATTCTTCAAATAAGTTCATGTTTACTCTTTTTATTCTATATACATTTATGAGCACTTACCTAACTTAACTCACCACCGGCATTTATGTGGTGTCAGAACCTGCCCACCCCACCCCCACCCCCACCCCCACCCCCGCCGCCCCTACTCATTTTAAAGTTTGAGAAAGGTGAGAGGTGCAAGTCTGGCCCTGCCTACCAAGGGCTTCTTTCTACTAAGATACTGGAAGAGAAGAGACTTGCTTAAGAAGCTAAGGAAGCCACATTAAGGGTATGAGTAGAGCCTAAAATCAGAGGCAAAGAATAAAACTGAGGTACAGAACACAAACAAGAGCTTCCCTGGGATAGGCAAATAAAAGAGAAGCAAGAGTGTCGGGGACATATTTGGAATAAAGAAGGAATCTGGACAGGAGTAGGGGTGGAGACAGGGGTAAGACAATAGTAAACCAAGGCAATTTCTTAAAGCTTTTTAATAGTGCTATTCAAATCTCAAATATCTTTGCCAATGTTGTTTCCTGCTTGATCTATCTATAACCAAGAAAGCTGTATTAAAATAGTGAAGGATTTGTTAATAACTCTTTGTAGATCTAACAAAGACTTTACATATTTTGAAGCTATGCTCTTAGATAAATGGGTTTTCAACTATCTTCCTGATAAATTGAACTTCATAGTATCATGCTAAGTGATTATCTTTTTAAAGTTTTCCCCTCAAAGTCTATTTTAATTTGCATCAATTTCACTGACCCTGCTTTCCCTTGGTTAATATTTTTCCTGTTATATTTTTTTCTAGCCTCTGACTTTAAAACTTGTCTGTGTTCATACATTATAATTGAGTCTTTTATGGAAAGCATGTGCTAAATTTTGGTTTTATATAGCCTGAGAGTCTTTGTGTTTTAACAAGAGAGTTTAATCCATTTACATTTATTTGGATTACTGATTGATTTGCATTTATTTCTACTCTCCTATTTCTATTTGTCTTTTTTTTTCTATTTGTCTTTTCTATTCATACCACTTTTACTGTCTTATGCCCACTCTTCTTACCTTCTTTGGATTGATTGCATTTTTTTCTTTTATCCATTCCTATTCTTTTCACCAAAGTTAAATAGTTCCATTACCTTTTTCTCAAAAAATACCATGTGCTTAGAATGCCTTAAATCTGATCACCCACTTCTCCACACTTACACACTATTTTTGTCCATATTATAGTTCTATTCTCTTTGCCCCAAACAGACATTAGACATTATCATTATTTTGGAAATTAAATGTTTTCTTGGTTTTGTCTACAAATCTACCAAAATCTTTACTCACCCTTATCTTTCTTCAAAAACATCAATTGCTTCCAACCACACCCATCCAATTCCATTCTCTTCATGGGTGTTTTCTCCTTATTACCCAAACACCTGACCCATCACTGTATGGAAGTACACTTGTATACCTTCTCAGTTTACCATGGGGAAAATTTTAACAATCACACTGCCTCCTTTTGCCAGGAAACCATGAGCTTTATCTACCATGAGTGATGGCATTCTTATTGCCAGCAATCAGCTCAAAAGTTTCATGTTAACATTTGCATTCTTGGACATTCCAGGAACTGTCTGCTGTGGGTCAGATTTCCTGGAAAGCAGACTCTGATATGGATATTAACATATAATAAACTTACTGGGGGAATAATCTCAGAATAAACACAATGAAGGGCATGAAAAAGCAGAATTAAACTGAGGGAGAAGTTAGGGTATTGAAACACTCACAGGAAAGTTCTCACCTAATCCTGGATGGAGCTCTGAAGCTTGGATGGATCTTCAGTCTCTCAGGACCCCTCAGAAAGGGGGTGTGACCTTGGACAAGAGCAATGTTCACATAAGTTTCAAGTCAAAGAGAAGGAGAGCAATGGAGCGACAGCTTGAGGATGTGGTATGGTCAGGAAGAGATTTCTTTATTTTTTTTTAAGTTTATTTATTTACTTCTGAAAGAGAGAGAGTGCAAGCAGGGCAGGGGCAGAGAGAAAGGGGAACAGAAGACCTGAAGTGGGCTCTGTGCTGACAGCAGAGAGCCTGATGTGGGGCTTGCACTCACAAACCATGAGATCATGACCTGAGCCAAGGTCAGATGCTTAACCGACTGAGCCACCTAGGCACTCCAGGGAAAGATTTCTTTAAATGAAAGAAATGTTAGCACTTTTTAGGTTAAAGGTAAGGAACTAGAGGAAATGGGGTTTTCCAACCATCAGGAGGCCTGGTAGTGGGAGGGAGGCCCTTTGTTGAGACACTATGGCACTGTGAGAGAAGCAGCCTTGAAAACTCTGGACCACTAGGGAAAATAACTCTGTGTATGAGTGCAGATGTGCATGTTTGAGAGTTACTCATTAAACAATCGTGAGAATGGAGAGGTATGCCTGAACCTCACACAGATGGGGAGATCTTGAAGGGAACCAGACCTAGAAAAGAATCTATGCTTTAATCTATTTAAAAAACCTGTTGAACTTACTGAATCACTATTTCCCAAACTTCTATAACCACAGAACTTTTCATTTTTCTGGAATATCTGTTGATGTGTCTCATAGCATTCCTCAAAACATAGTTTGGGAAATAATGGGCCAAGTAACAACCTCAAGACTTTACTCAGTCTTCCAATGACCAATTCATAAACCAGGACATAAATTGAATGAAATAGAAGGCTGATTTAAAAAAAACACAACTTTTTTATTAACGGTGTTTCAATTTGGAAAACATTTACAGAGTGTCTATTATGTACTAGAAACTGCTCTGTACCCTAAGGACATGGAGATGACAAAGGCAAGAAGGGCCTTCCTTCCACGAGCTGGCAGCCTGTAGGGGGTCTCAGGTGGTCTCTAAATAAATGTTACACTGAGCAGCAGACCCCTTGATAGGAAGACAGACCCT